AGCAGAGCGCTGGGAGCATGAGTGGGTGGTGAGGTGAGTATATGACGGATATGACGGATGACGGATGCGACGGAAATACACCCGAACATATCTGGTAGCCCGAACATATCTGGTACTGACACCGGTGCGCTCTCTCGCTCGCGCACGCACACAAAATGGCTCGTTCCACACACACAGAGCCTAGCTTTAATGAAACAGAGACCCAGACGTAATACTGTAATATTGACAGGTCTCTCTTGAAAATGAGACCTTGTGTCTCAATGAGATCTACACCTGTATAAATAAAGGCTAAATAAAAAAAATAATAATAATACTGTATCATATTATTTTCGCATCAATAATTTTTCAAATTATGATTTTTTTTTTTTTAATAACAATTTTTCCTCCTGGTCTCTCGCGCCCCCACTGTCATGCCTCTGCGCCCCCCAAGGGGGGAGCGCCCCACACTTTGGAAACCACTGGGTTAAACTAAGGACTGTAATGAAGGTGAAATGCAAATTACTACATTTTCCTATTTACATCTGCCTTTAACTTTCAAGTGCTTGTTTTGTTGATTCCCAAATCACACATTTTCCTCAATGGACTCCTTTTTCTTTCTTTTTTAAAAGCTCTTATAAAAAATGTTTTAGTTTATGTGAAGTGAGTATGTTGTGAGAAGGGTTACACATTTTATAATTTCAGATAAACATTTTCTTAATATCTTGCCTTAACAAATGACAGATGCTCACCTGTTAAACCAGACCGTGTTCTGCTCTGTGTCCCAACTAGATTAACCTGAAATTAGATTTGAATTGCATTATGTGTGACATGAGAAATAGGTGTCATAAAAACATATTAAACAAACGTCACACCAGGAACTGAGAAATACGGGTTCATTCACAAATAGTAAGAAATACAAAGTGTTGCCAGCAGCCAGTGAATAAAGCAATAATAGCAATGTTCATTAATGTGTCACATGGACAGATTGAGATTGCAATATAAGGCCTTTTAGCTGAATCTGAGACTTTCTTGAAGCAGTGAGGCTGAACTATTTTTTGGGGAAATGTGAAGCAGGTAGCTTCCTGGAAGTCATGTGTTTCGTACAAGTTTCAGGAGGCGGTCTATTCTCATCAGTAAAAACAGTGAAGTGTGGGTGTCTGTCACACACACACACACACACACACACACACACACACACACACACACACACACACACACACACACACACACACACACACACCACACACACACACACACACACACACACACACACACACACACACACACACACAATAGTGGGGAAACTTCTGCTGTGTCATTCAGAAACATGCTGAAAATTACAACTCTTTTGGACACCTTTAACGCCTCTTTAACTTGACCGCTTTCTTAGTTTTGTTAGGTATTCAAATCATTTGCATTAAAGAAAATACTTTGAATCCATGTGCAAGAACACACTTCATAATGAAGATTAATTAGAACATCATTTTAACATTTTATATGTACACCATTTTAGCTTCACAAACCAGAAACAAATGTGACGACAAAAACAATTGACATTTTAACATTTATATTTAAATGATTCCTGGACCAACTCAATCACATGTTTAAGATAATTTGCTAGGATGCAGAGTTCAAGAAAAGCTATTAATTTCTACAAAATCGTATTGCCTATATCTGGCCATTCACAGTAAGTTTAACACTTCAAACGGAGTCCGCAAATAGTTTAAAATAAATTTGTTTAAAGAAATAGTGCAATACTCGCAAAATACAATCTTGGTTAGACAGGATGCAGATGTCTGGAACCGAAAGTCCACGCAGTAAAAGTGCCTAAATATTAATGATCAATAGTGTTTTTATATTTGCAGCAAATCAAAAGAGAAACTGAGGAGAAAAAGGTGAAAAAATGCATAACTGACATATAGGAAATATTCTTATTGGTGACCTCAATGTACCAACGTCTCTGTTTGTTTCACCTGATGGAAAATGTCCTGGTTCATTTAATCAAGAGTCAGCACAGGCTTCCCTTATATATGAAAGGTGCATGGGTGCGAGAAAAGACATCCTGTGGAAACATTTGACTCCTGTGTGTACATGTGTTGTGTGTGTTGTGTGTGTGAGAGAGAGAGAGAGAGAGAGAGAGAGAGAGAGAGAGAGAGAGAGAGAGAGAGCGAGAGAGAGAGAGAGAGAGAGAGAGAGAGAGAGAGAGAGAGAGAGAGAGAGAGTGTGTGTGAGTGAGTGTGAGAGATGTGTGGTCTAGCATTACTATACTTGTGGGGACCTAAATCTGTTTACATAGTCACGTGTGGGGACTGGCTTCCCTTATGGGGACAAATTGGAGGTCCCCATGAGGGGAATCATTAATTTTAGGGTGAAGACTTGGTTAGGTTTAGGATTAGGGTTAAGGGTAAGGTTAAGGGTAAGGCATGTGTTGGTTATGGTTAAGGTTAGGATAAGTCTCCAGGAAATGCATGTAAGTCAATGTAATGTCCCCTGAAGTGATGTATACATGGTATGAGTGTGTGTGTGTGTGTGTGTGTGTGTGTGTGTGTGTGTGTGTGTGTGTGTTACTGGGTGGGCTGGTGTGTTACATTCACTTACAGTGACACAGTTCTTGTGACCTTGAGTGTCCTGTTCTCTCTTCTCTCTGTGTTTTTGGCTAAGTGATACAAAAAGGCCAAGAAATGTGTACAAATGTTTCCTACTCTTCCTGTATCTGTGCGCATATTTTATAGTGACTTTGTGACAATGTATATTAGTCTGTTAGGTATCCAGGACATTTACATTGCAAGATGTCAGAAAAAAGTGAACCCACTTTGTTGGGCACATTAGGCATGGTGTTACTTCTCATATTACCACAGCAATTGGTAGATACTAGAGACAAAAACATGAGTATAACACCCACACAGTGTAGGAAGGAAGCAAGATGAAGAGAAATAAAGAATATATCGTAAAGTACGTAAGAAAGCCACAAAAAAGATTTCAGACGAGGTGTGAGTCACACACGGTCACACTGTGTTTGTGTTCCACATGTACAGTAAAGGAATGCGGGGGTGGGGGATAAAGGTTAGAAAGGTGGCCCTGCTAGTGGTTTGAACCCCAAAAACTATTGATAACAGAAGTTCAACAAAGATTTTTTCAGTTTACTCCTGATGATAAGATTGATAGCAAGCACTTATAGTTTAAAATAAGTAATAAAGCTAACGCTGCCTGCCTGCTAACTTAGCTTAGCACAAAGACTGGAAACAGCTAGTGTGGCTCTGTCGAATAGTAATGGCTCGATCTGGTGGAAAATAGTAAAAACTTTTGTAATTCATGCATGGCCTGTTTGAAGCCTCAGAACCAATACATGTGTTTAGTGGGTTCAAATGACGAGATTTGTGTGTCTTTATTTTCACTACAAAATGTATTATCAACTCATTATAGGAGCTGAGGTTGAACTTCAAAAAATCCACCTCATAGCCTTGCCAACAGAGCCAAGAAGATTGAAAAATTAGATGCCGAAGAAGTCTCCAGTCTGAGACAACGCTTAAAGGTCCCCTATTATACTGTTTTTTATCAATATATTATAGTTCTCAGTTATATACAAAACATATCTCTGAAGTGTTTGGCTCCAAATACCAAACAGATCATTGTAGCATCCCATAATCCCCCCTGTTTCAAAAGTGCTGATTCTGTGTCTGTTACTTTAGATGAAAATAAGGAGGGGGGTTACCTTGGTTGGTGATTGGCTAATGGTTACACAAGCCAAACAAATCTTTATGACATCATAATGTGGCCTAACTCTGGTCAGCTCATTTTCAGACAGGATTTTATATAAATGGATCAGGACGAAAAGTGAGCGAATCTCTTTACACAGAGGGGACACATGTTGATGTAGAAAAGACATGAAAAAGTGGATTTTTCATAATAGATCCCCTTTAATCTACTATTCTCATCCAACTCTCAGCAAGACAGTTATGTACGAAACAAAATGTCTAACTTTCCCGCCTTTGACAAAACCAGGACACCTCCACCATATCAGCCACTCTGTGACGTATTAACACAACTAAAAGTGTTTCTAGAAGCTCCGACGTATGCCCGAAAATGTCAGCTCTTGCGAATACGAGTTACGATAAAAAAAACACTCATCCCATCCCAGCAGTCAGAGCGAGATCCCGCAGTGACTGGTTGTTGGGGCTGAAACCGGGGGTCTGCACGTCTGTGGCCTCTCTCACCTCCACCTGGTTTGTCCTTTTGAATGATCTGAAAAGAGGACTGCAGACGCTCACATCGTGACGCACGGCTCCAAACCCGATGGTGTGTAGGACGTTGTGAAATGAGATGTGTGGGGAAATTCCCCCATCGAGCAGCTGTGAGATCAATACAACAGGGGGAAACCTTTTCACACAATTCAGTCAAATACGCTCTTCATTCTGATGTTCAGTGAATCATTACAGTGGTCTTGATTATGAATCAGTGTGCAAAGAGCAGCGACGTTTCGAAAATAACATATTTTCTTGATAAGACTGGAAAGAGAGGAAGGGATATCATGACCTTTTGCAGATGACACCCATCTCTATTTATAAACCCCTTTACGCCCTGGAAAACGGCACTGAAAATTCCTCCAAGATTGAAAATGATTGGTCTGTGTATAGAAATAACCAGACCATCTCAAAATGTGACACTTAAGGGGAGGCATTTGGGTGTAATGCTTACGTCTGTGCTCCTGATTTTAGCCACATTTAGCATTGCAAATTAGCATTATCAGTCACACCGAAGTCTGGCTAAAGCTAAACATTTCTCAACATCATCTCGGTGAATTTCCATAACATTTTTTACCCAGTCTCAGAGGAGGAACCCTAAAGAATTTGTTAATCCTCTGACTTTTAGTATAGTCCCATCATCAGGTCAAATTTAAAATGTGCATAAAAAATGATACATAAAAAAGGTTATTGTGTTATCTTCAAAGCAAACTGCAGTAAGCGTGAGGTGAATCCACAACCAATGTGAAATACTACAATAAAATACTTCATTTCAAAGTGTTAAGTTAATTTAATATGTTTTTATTATTAATCCAGTTACCAGAGGAAAAAGTAGAATGATAAAAACAAGGTACCAGTAACATTGCATTTCCTTTGTAAGCTTTTCTGTTCTTCCAAATTCCTTCCTGGGCCGACATTATCTTCACATCCTTATGATGGAAACGACCATCATCATCATCATCATCATCATCATCATTCTTCCGAACATTCATATGCAACGGTGAAAACACATGAAGCAGTCCTTTTACAAAAGTACACAACAGACAAGTTGGAAATAAACGATGATATATATTTACAAGACTTATTAGCTCCAAGTTAAAACATAAAGTAAGATCTGTGTCGAGACAACAACAAAGAAAGTCTTAAAATAATGCCGTGCAAAAAAGTACCCACAGCAGCATCTGGTTCAGCGATGTCGGGGTAAAAGGAAACCGTTTGTAAGTCGTGCGCTCTTCATTAACTGTTGTTCAACACCTTCTCTTAAAGCTGGTAGCATGTGGAACATGTTAATAAACCTTAAAATGATGTTTCCGGCTGTTTGCAGCTTTACAAGATAAAATCCCTCATTAAGACACATAAAGGCCCCTGCTCTCCAACATGGAGGACTGTGAGATAAGCATCTGGCTATTGTGACTGAAAGATAACTCAACAGATAATATGTGTTCAAATACTTGGGATAAAGTTTAAAAGGATCAGAGTGTAGGATTAAGAGGATTTAGTGGCACCCTGCATTGAAGTTGCAGATTGAAACCAACATAATAACCGCTTATAACATAATGCTTAGCCAGACAGCTCATACATTTTCAGGGTCACAGTGACCTGTAATCGGCTGCACAAGCCACGAACGGTGTTTTTGGAAAAATATTCTACTGTTTAAGAGTGAAAGAGGTGAAGAGGCAGTTTGCAAAGTTCATGGTCTGGGACTCGTGTATAAGACAATCTTACAGGCACTCAAAACTTCTGTGACTGCTGACCTGACAAATCACATGGACCCCTGGGGGTCAACTTGGTGTAAGAGTCAACACTGCAGAATCCCTTTCTGTACCATTGCTAAGAAAAACAAAAACCTCATGGAAAAGAACATTTAAAAAAAAACAATAGATACACACAAATAGACCAAAAAAGCACCACAGAAAACGTGGTCTCAGTTCCCATTTTCGCGAGACTCGAGTGCTACACCTTCTGTCCGAGCGGCGCCGCTAACCTCCGGCCTGACTTCATGCGGCTACGTGCGTACACCCGTAAGAAAAGTGCCAAGAAAACTACCCCAACACCAAATCCACCTATTATGGTGACTGCGTGACCGTAGAGGAAACACGAGAGCAGAATGGCGATGGCCTGTCGCAGGGTCATGATGATGGTGAAGACCGCGGCACCAAAATGGCTGATGGTGTAGAAGATGAAGAGTTGGCCGCACGCCGAGCACACGGACAGCAACACGGCGTGAAAGGCGAACTCCGAGTGGCGCGTCATGAAGGCCACCGAGTCGAAGAAGGCCCCCTGCTCCAGCAGAGAGCCCACGGTGAACAGGCAGGAGAACAGGTTCACCCCGAACATCATCTGCACCGACGACATCTTGTACTTGAACAGGTTGTCCTGCCAGTTGGAGGTGAAGCTGTCGAACACGATGTAGCCGATGAGGATGACGATCCCGCTGAAGGTGGTGACGGTGGACAGTTGCTTGCTGGGCGTGCTCGACAGCAGGAACATGCTGACGCCCAGCGAGATCAGCACGGCCGTGAAGTACTCCCAGTACTCGTAGCTCTTGTGGGAGACGATCTTCCCCATGAGCATGACCGGAATGACCTTGGAGGCCTTGGCCAGGACTTGCGTGGGGAAGCTGATGTACTTCAGGGCCTCGTACTGGCACCAGCTGCTCATGATGTTAGAGAGCGAGGCGAAGGAGTATTTGTACATGGGCGCTCCGTGGCGAGGCTGCTTGAACATCAGGCACCACAGCCCGGACACGGTCAGAGCCAGGATCCGGTTCATGAACACCAAGAACTGAGAGTCTTTGAACTTCTCGCCCGCCTCTTCTGGAGTCGTGGATCCGTACGAGCGCGTCATCACCCTCTCCTGCAGGACGCCCCATGTCAGGTACGATACCTAAGAATAAGAACATTTACTTTGTGATACCGATAGTTCTGTTGAAAAGTGGAGCACTGAAGGTAATTATTGAATTTTGAGCAGAGATTCTTTTGTAACATAAACCTAGAGATTTGTACCAGGAGAGAGTTAACTTATACTAATCTGATTTAACTAACTATTTTTACCTTTTGTATATTTACTAGGGATGTAACGATATACCGAATATCGCGGTAAATAAACGTCCCAATACCGTCGTGAGACTGACAAAATCAACCGCGATTTTTTGTTTTAAAACATTTATTTAACCAGGTGGTCCCATTGAGATCATCGATCTCTTTTTCAAGAGAGACCTGTCCAACATGGCAGCAAGTAGGTTACAACATGAACATAAAACAACAGAACACAAAAGGACATCGTATTTACAGGGCTACATGTACATACCTAGAGACATTGACAAGTACCAACAGTATATTTATATCTCGCCCTGTCAATAAGCCTCACCTTCTTGGCAACAACTGTATTGTTTTTGAAGTGGTGGAGAGACAATGCACAGTTTGACCCACTGCTGTCACCCATGGCCAAAGCATATCTCTCCGTCCCACTGAGGTGGCGTTAGACTTTTTCGCTGTCCGTCATTTTGACAGACAGGATCGTAAAATGTCCGTCATAATCCCTTATTACCCGTCGGGTCTGAACAGTTCATGAGAGAGCACGCTCGTGAACTGTCAACGGGGGGGTGTTATGCTGTGTGTGCATGCACCTCGCGGGAGCGCACACAGCGTAAAGCAAAACCTCCCAGACATGTGTTGATCTGTACGGCAAAGTACGGTTTGGAAACTATATCATTTCCTTTTGGAGGGCATGCATAACACCAGAGCCTCGCTGCGGGGATACGTTGCCGCTGTTCCGAGTTTGTTCTAATCTGTCAAAATGACAGACTGCTTTCAGATTTTTCCGTCATTGTTAAATAAAATATTCGGTTAACGCGACCACTGCTGTCCCAGCAACATCAGCACCAAGCGAGAGAGTTTTTTCCAGAGCAGGGGATATTGTAAATGCCCAAACATCCCAGCTTATAAATACCTGGAAATGTGGACATTCTCATATTCCTAAAAACCTGTCTGATGATGCTGAGTGAGTGAGTTTGAGTTGAGTTACTTGAAAAACTAAAGTGAAACTTGATTTATTTTATTGCAGGGTCTGATTATTAAATGTCCTTGTTTATTTGTGAGATGCAGTGGCACAAAGAAAATGCCTACTTTGTTTGGTAGTACTATAGGTACAAAAACACTGGTTTTCTTGTTCCAGTCTGTTACTGTCACTTTGTTTTTGACACTTTAAAATACTGCTATCCTACTAAAATGCTTTACAAATCAGATTTATTCTGTAATAAAGAAACATTTCCCGAGTAAAAAAAAAGTTTATTGAAAGAAAAAAAATTGAATTTTTTTTTCTCTTTATTATTCAATATTGAGATAAATACCGTACCGTGGACTTGTTATCGCGATATTATCGTACCGTGAGTTTTTGGTATCGTTACATCCCTAGTATTTACAGGTTTTTTGACAAAGGAACTGTATTGAGGATTATTGAAACAGTGAAAAAACGTAAAAGCTGGTTTTAAGATAGACTTTGTTTATATTGAGTGTAAAAGAAGTATGTCTTACAGCAATATATAATAAATGCTGTTTGACTAAAGTCTGGTGGGTTTGAGAGGAACACAATAATTAGGTTTTGTATGTCAATAAATAGTAATCATTTTCTAAATTGCTGTTGATAATATATAAACTTCCTCGCATGTTAGCATGGTGCAAAAACAGGTATAATGTTCCCATCACTGCTTGGTTTGGAGCTGGAGTCGATAAATGGTCATTTGTCCAGTTTCCCTAATTACGCATCAAACAGACACGGACCAACATAACCATTCATTTGCAGTCGTGTTTCTTGCCAAGTAAAACTCTGATTTGGTCTCCATAACTTCCTCTCCAGCTACTTAGAGTAAAGTGGTAAACCTCAAAATAACATTTAGCATCCGTGTAAATAGATGGTGATCTCATTGTCAATAGGAGTGACCCCTCATGTAATTATTAAGTATACAAATATTGATTGTAATGCAGCCTTAAGCTAGGGCAGCTCAATTAAATCGTATTTTAATCGCAATTACGATTATGGCTTGCAACGATTACGAAAACAACGTAATCGAAATAAAACGATTATTTTTTATTATTATTAATTTGTCTTTTTTATTATTGGTTTTTCAGACGAGTTATACTTAAAGTTCAGGGTAATCAACTGTTCAAAACATACTGTTCAAAAAAATTCTCCAATAAATTGATGTTTTCAAAGTAAATGGATAACCATTTTTAATAGAGGCTGTGGCTCAGTGGGTAGTGTGCTGGACTTCGAATCAGGTGATCGCAAGTTCGAATCCCTCTGCAGTCAGCATGTCGTTGTGTCCCTGGGCAAGACACTTCACCCCAAATTGCTCCTGTGGGGATTGTCCACAGTATTGAGTATGGAAGTCGCTTTGGATGAAAGCGTCTAACAAGTGACATGTAATGTAATAATCGTGATATCAATTATTGACCCAAATAATCGAGATTATGATTTTTGCCATAATCGATCTTAAGCTCGATCAGTTTGATGAAGAGCTTGATTTTAAAGTTGGTGAAGAGGGGCCTTCAGAGTTTCCTAACAGCACCTCCCTTTGGACTAACTCAACCTGAGCATCTTTTACATTTGAGAGTGGGCCGACAGCAGGTAAAGCAAACATACAACATCCTGCTCTACGGCAAACAGAAAAATAATGACATCGTATTATAGGGATTAGACCACATGATATGTATTCAAGGAGGATCCCTACCTGAAGCCCAGCCGCACAAAAGATTAATTTGACGACCTGTTTCACCGACGAGCCTGAATCAGCCTCGTTCCTGGGTGTTACCGACACGTCATCCAACAGACCTGTTTTAGCCTCACTGCCAAACACGCAGGTCTTAATGAGAGGGAAGCAAATCCCGCTACCTGAGAGAAAATACAAAATGAATAATAAAGTGGACGAGGAAGTTACTACAACAAGAAGTGTTTGTTTTTTACTTGGCATCGATTGAATCTCACAAGCACAAACCTGTTTCTAAGTAATTGGTGCGCTTGAAGTAGCTAATGAGGAAGTAGCCAGGGATGATGATGGTGGAGTATCCTAGCACGTTGACGAGGAAGCGGAAGAGCCACACATCGTGCCAGCCTTCCAGTAGTGATGCCTCCTCTGCAGCCACAGGGGAAGGGAGGAGAAGCAACACAAGTGCAGGCCAAACCCTGAGAAAAGGTAACACAGGTATGTTTATTAGACAACATTTTGGAGAACAGACAGAAGGTGAACGCTGTAGCAACTCAGATTGTTTTCTCTATGTAATATATAGAAAACATAATCAATACATTAACATAATAAATCACACTAATGTCCATCATAAAAATGCTGATGATAGATATTTTGATATGCGTTTACTACTTTCTTAAACTGACAATACCAATGTTGTAAAGCGAATGTGTTAGCATAGCATCTGAATTTCACAATACCTCTTTACTCATCAAATTGAATCCTTTGGAAATAATGTATTGTGAAATTGAAATGTAGTTCACAATCAATAACTGAAACAAAATGACAACAACAAAAATATATATATATCAAAGTGTTTGTCCATAGGTTTGGCAAAGCTTCAAAAACTCCTCCTACAAAGATCCTACATTTCCCATAATGCCACTTAATTGATAAAATGTTTCATAAACCCTTCCTGTGAGAAAAACGCCTTCTAACTTTCTCTAGTTTGTACTGCAAGCTTGCTATTAAAAAACATCCAAGTCTCCAAGCTGTAGCCGTCTGGCCAACAATGGATGTATTCAAGATAACATTCAAATGTGGCGCCTCATTGAGTCCTATCAAAGTTTACTGGATGCAAATCTATTCAAATATACCATCTGGAAACAGCCTGTTCTGCCATTTTTGCACGAAAAGAACACCCACAAGCAGATTAAGTAACACTGATAACTCAACCAAGGACACCTGTAATGAAACCCTATCTTCTTTTCAAAAAGGTGTGCTCCTTGCTGTCGTGGCACTGAGTGTGTATATCCCATTCAAAGTGAGGCAGGGCCTCCTCCCAAGGGGGAGCCCGACTCACACAGAGTGTCTTTGTGTGGGCCAGCAGTCCACTGCAGAGAGACCTGGGCTGTGAACAAGCAACTTATTACATGAAGGAATGCAGTGCACTGGCTGGGCGTCAAACCCACAGAGAGAGAGCTGCCAGAAACATACCTGGGAGAGAAAGAGTGTGTTGTACCGGTTGTACCACATACATGACAGCAGATCGCATGGAGTGAATCCCTCCTGACAACTATGTCATTATTACTACCTGGCTGCTGGAGGGTGAGCTATGGACATGTATCCATGGTAATCAAACACATCAGTCCAGAGGGAAAAACCCAGTGGTGTTGCAATCAATTATGTGAATTGTAATCATAAGGTATCACATGCAGCACTTTAATGGGTGGTTAACTCCTAGGGAGTGGCTATATACAGGACCATCCTGTACACAACGCCAAATGACTATATGACTGTATATAGCCTCGGCCTAACTCCTATCAAAACAAAGTAAAAAATAACCAGTGGTGTAAAGTAACTAGGTAGATTTACCCAAGTACTGTACTTAACTTCCATTTTGAGGAACTTGTACTTATCATGAGTATTTATTCTACCCCCACTACATTTCGGAGGTAAATCGTGTACTTTTACTCGAATACATTTACTTTATACCCTGAATTACTTCTCGTATTTCAATTAATGATATATATAATCAACACATAAAATCAGACTTTAGTTACACCTGAAGTAAAAGTATATATATAAAGTCATTCAAACTAGCTGCACCTTTACCAGCTGTGATAAACACATGAATGCACCAATAATCATTAAAAAAAACACGTCATACTAAGTATATTTTGACTTGAGTAACATTTTTGATTGCAGGACTTTTACTTGTAACAGAGTATTCCTACACTCTGGTACATGAACTTTAACTCAGGTCTGATATCTGTGTAATTATTCCATCTCTTTTAATAGCGTATAATAAAAACATGTTCACTGGAAGACAAATAAACAAATAAACAGTCAGCAGAGCCTACATAAATAACTCATTTTTATCACGCCTTTTTCTACAGTAAGCTAACATTTAGTCTTGGTGTCTACCATTACCTCCATGAAAAAGATGGCATTTTCTCCACTCTCGGTGGCCCGACACCTGGAGCAGCTCACCCGCCGACAGACTCAAGCGTCCCCGCTGGAACAGAGCATGAAGGTCCGGCAGGTAACGATATTTTAGTAATAATTATTAGGGGATTGTCTTGTTCCGGACTAGCTGCCTTTTAGCTCTAATGTCTTCAACTTATCCTCAATGGCCGATGTGTTCACTTTGAGCAGGAAAGCCCCGCCCCCCTCCTCTTTACTCAACACCAGGAGGATGCCGGAGCACAGCGCACCCTCGGCGGCAGCGCCCCTGTCGGTGAGGAGGAAAAACTGCAGCAAGGAAAAGCCGGTTTACTTGTAAAGCACATTTCAGTACACAAATGCAATTCAATTCAATATTAAAAATCTGTATTGCTATATGCACAGTAGCTACAGCAGGGGTGTCCAAACTTTGTTCACCGAGGGCCACATAAAGAAAAATATTCAAATGGCCGGGCCGCTCACTAGGTGAGGTATATTGCCTCATAAGTTAAGTTAAAAGTTAGCAAAATCAATCAAAAGTAGGTAAATTATGCTTGATACTTGAGTCTGCTTTAAGAAAAATAAACAGCCTACATCCCAGCTCTCCAGAGTTCCATTTAATTTGTTAGCAGCTCATCCCTTACAACAGGAGCCCCAGATTGATTATCATAAGAGGAAATAGGAAGGGTATATTTCAAGTTTGTTATGAATAAGTTATTGGGCTTTTTTCTTATCGACTTAGATTTGTTAGAGCATATTTTCAAATGTAGTTGACTGAATTTATTGTAAAGTGGGCTATTAACACATGAACACTATACTGTGTAATATATGTTTACAGATATATGTAAGTACAATACAAGAAAATCTCAAGTTTCATTTGTGGCTGTATTCCATTATACTTTTTGAATTTGCTGAGGGCTGATTCAAAATGTCCCGCGGGCCGCATTTGGCACCCAGGCCGTAGTTTGGACACCCCTTCAAGGTTCAAGGTTTTTATTTTGTCATACGAACATAGCTACAGTGTAGTTATGACGATGAACATCTTAGGTCACAGGCTCCTCCAACAGTGCAACACAATAAAACAGGTAAACAGACAAATACAGTGCAAGTAAATAGTAAATACAAAAAGAAAAATTGTTTTAAAAAGTGAAAAAGTGCAATAAGAGTCTATATGCAAGGAATATAATATATTAGGTAAATAAATAAATAATTTCTAAATAGCAGCCAGATGATGGGCTGCAGTGTAGTTATGGCAATTCAAATCCTTAAACCAAAACTCCTCCAAAAATCCTACATAAATATATAAGTCATTAAACAAATAAACCCCCCCCAATAAAATAAAATAGTGTACGATTATGTTGCAAGACCAATGTGCAAGTAATGCAGGATTCTATATACATGTAAAACTGAGTGTCAGTGTCATGTTGTGAGCAGACATATTCTCTCAACTGGCTCATTCTTTGACAAACATTTGTGTGAAACAAAAGGTAATAATACCTTACTTTGGGAAAATGATCCTTCCCTGGGATGTCTTCCTATTATTAATTTATGGGCCAAATATCTTGGGACAATTACTGATACGTTGACCTTTGAAATTTCATAGATGGGTAACTTTCCTTGAAAAACAGGAACAGGTTACCATGACAATGTGAAGTAAAATTGCAGGGAAAAACCAATCTCATGTGTACAAGGTCAGCCACATGTAAATTCAGCTACTCCATGTTTTCCATACCCTTTTCTTGTTATTTTAATTTATACTCATGCTTATTAATATCTTGTTATCCTTGTGTGAACTCTTACCTGTCCTTTCCTTGGTGTGATGACTATAACTGTTGGCTGAGCAACAAATTGCGCCTCAGGAATAAAATAAAAAATCCCTATGAAGATTACATTACATTACATTACATTGCATTTAGCTGACGCTTTTATCCAAAGCGACTTACAATAAGTACATTCGACCAGGAAGACACAACCTTGAAGAAAACAGAATCATATAAATACATCAGGTTTCATAGAGCCAAACATTTCAAGTGCTACTCAACTGGCTTTAGGTAAGCCAGTCCTTTATTAGTATAAAAGTGCTTCGTTAATAGTTCTAACGCTCGAAGTGGAGTCGAAAGAGATGAGTTTTCAGTTTGCGCCGGAAGATGTGCAAGCTATCTGCTGTCCTGATGTCAATGGGGAGCTCATTCCACCATCTTGGAGCCAGGACAGCAAACCCACGTGTTTTCGCCGATGGGAACTTGGGTCCCCCTCGCAGCGAGGGCGCAACGAGTCGTTTGGCTGATGCAGAGCGTAGTGCACGCGCTGGGGTGTACGGTTTAACCATGTCCTGGATGTAGGAAGGGCCAGATCCATTCGCAGCATGGTAAGCAAGTACCAGTGTCTTGAAGTGGATTCTAGCAGTTACCGGAAGCCAGTGAAGGGAGCGGAGGAGCGGAGTGGTGTGGGAGAATTTAGGAAGGTTGAAGACCAGACGAGCCGCTGCATTCTGGATGAGCTGCAGAGGTCGGATGGCACATGCAGGTAGACCAGCCAGGAGGGAGTTGCAGTAGTCTAGGCGTGAGATGACGAGAGCCTGGACCAGAACCTGAGTCGCTTTCTAAGTCAGCTGGGGACGTATCTTCCTGATGTTGTAAAGCGTGTATCTGCAGCAACGGGTTGTAGCAGCGATGTTTGCAGTGAAGGACAGGTTGTTATCTAGGGTCACACCCAGATTCCTTGCAGTCTGAGTCGGGGAAACAACTGAGGTGCCGGTGTTGATTGTTAGGTCAAGAGTGGGACAATCTTTTCCCGGAAGGAAGAGCAGCTCAGTCTTGTCAAGGTTGAGCTTGAGGTGGTGAGCAGACATCCACTGAGAGATGTCAGCTAGACAAGCAGAGATGCGTGCAACGACCTGGGTCTCTGAGCGGGGAAAGGACAGAATTAATTGGGTGTCATCAGCGTAGCAGTGGTAAGAAAAACCATGCGGGCTAATGACTGATCCGAGCGAGTTTGTGTACAGGGAGAAGAGGAGGGGACCAAGAACAGAGCCCTGAGGGACCCCCGTAGTTAATTGACAAGGGTCGGACTCAGACCCTCTCCAAGTCACCCTGTAGGTACGGTCTTTCAGGTATGAGGTGAGGAGGGAAAGTGCAGAGCCTGAAACTCCAAGTTTTTGGAGAGTGCGAAGGAGGATCTGATGATTCACCGTGTCGAATGCAGCAGACAGGTCCAACAGGATGATGACAGAGGAGAGGGATGCAGTTTTGGCAGTGTGCAGTTCCTCCGTGACAGCAATGAGAGCAGTTTCTGTGGAGTGACCTGCCTTGAAACCAGACTGGTGCGGATCCAGAAGGTTGTTCTGATTGAGATAACAGGAGAGTTGTTTAAAGACAGCGCGTTCAAGTGATTTAGACAGGAACGGGAGGAGAGAGACAGGCCTGTAGTTTATAACATCAGACGGGTTGAGAGTGGGTTTCTTAGGAGAGGGTTTACTCTGCCTCCTTGAGACTGTTTGGAAAGTGACCAGAAGTTAGAGAAGTGTTGATGAAGTGGGTGAGAAACGGTAGAATATCAGGAGCGATAGTCTGAAGGAGGTTTGAGGGGATAGGGTCCAGAGGACAGGTGGTAGGGCGGGCAGAGGTAATGAGGGTAAGAACCTCACTTGGAGAGAGAGGGGAAAAGGAGGTAAGTGTGTTGGTGGAAGGAGGGTCTGGTGACCCAGCGGTGAGTAAAGGTGAGTCAGAAAAAGAAGAGCGAATATCATCAACCTTTTTTTCAAAGTGGGTAACAAAGTCGCTTGACAGAAGTGAGGAGGGGGGAGGAGCTTTTGGAGGGTCCAAGAGGGTGGAGAAGATGGAAAATAGTTTTTTAGGATTGGAATAGGAAGATTGGATCTTATCTTGAAAGAAAGTGCTTTTTGCCTGAGAGATCGAAGCAGAGAAAGAGGAGAGGAGAGCTTGATAGGTTAGGAGGTCGTCACGGTGTTTGGATTTCCACCATTTCCGCTCTGCTGCCCTAAGGACGGTTCTATTAGCACGCAGTGCATCATTTAGCCAGGGAGCAGGAGGGGACTGACGAGCCTGCCGAGATGTGAGAGGACAGAGCGAGTCCAGAGTGGATGAGAGAGTAGAGAGGAGAGTTTCTGCAGCAGAGTTTGGAGGCAGGAGTTGGAACGAGTCAGAGGAAGGGAGGGCTAAGAGCACAGATGAGGCAAAGGTAGAGGGGGAGAGGGAGCGAAGGTTACGGCGGACAAGTGCAGGATGGGAAGAGATTAGTTTGTTATGTTTGGAAAGGGATAGAGAGAATGAAATGAAGAAGTGATCGGATGTGTGGAGCGGGTTTACAGAAAGGTTAGAAGTAGCGCAGTTCCTTGAGAATATGAGATCAAGGACATTGCCAGCTTTATGAGTCGGTGGGGACGGAGACAGTGAGAAAGCAAAGGCGGTTAACAGAGATGTTAGTTCGTCTATCTTCCCCGTCTGGAGGTTGAAGTCTCCGAGAAGTACAGCGGGAGGGCCAGTTTCAGGGATGAGTGAGAGGAGATTATCTAATTCCTCCAAGAAGTCCCCCAAGGCGCCTGGTGGACGGTAGAGAACAACAATGGTTAACTGTATAGGATGGGTTACTGTGACGGCATGGAATTCAAAGGTGGAAGGAGTGAAGTTAGGTAGCTTGAAGAGGGAAAAGCTCCATTTGGGAGAGAGCAGGAGACCAGTGCCACCTCCTCTGCCAGTGGGTCTGGGTGTATGGGAGAAGGAATATGCAGTGGAGAGAGCTGCTGGGGTGGATGTGTTGGATGGAGTAATCCAGGTCTCAGTGAGAGCAAGGAAATCCAGAGACTGCAGGGAGGCGTAGCCAGAGATGAAGTCAGCCTTAGGAACAGCTGACTGGCAATTCCACAGGCCACCAGAAACTAGATGTTGGATCTCAGTGGAGCACGTGGGATAGACGAGAGCAGGCCGGTTATATCGATTAGGAGATACACGGGGCCAGTGATAATTGCGAGAAGACACATGAACAGGAATGGAGAAAATACACATGATTATAGCATGAGGGGCTAGAAAACTAAAGAAAAGAGAAATAAGACACCAGCTCAATCAGAGTAGGATTTGCCTCCTCTTTGCCTCCCGTAGGACTCTAATGTCTTTGTCAGTCTTACTCCCGCAGGACTCCAATGTCTTCGGCTGTCTGACGCTGAAGCTGACGCTCCAGGAAAGAGCTACCCAAAATGGACGCCTGATTGCTCAGTTCTCACAGC